TGTTCTCTCTCATCGATGTTTCTATCTCTCTCTCCCTCTCCCTTCCTCTCTCTCTAAAACTAATAAAGAAAAAAAAATTTTTTAATTTAAATAACAAAATTTCTTGTCACCTGCACAGATTGCCCAGACTACCAAGAGGGAGATAAATTCTTCCCTAAAGACAGAGCTATATCAACAGATATAAATCAGCTTTATCTACAGACCTTCTGGAGAGGGCTGAAAAGGCCATACATCCACATGGAAAAGGTCAACTCACAGAAGTCTGTGGCCTGTGCTGTTGCCATTGCCAAAGGGATGCCCTCTGAAAGCCCCCACATTCCTCAAATACTTAGTCTTTAGGCATCCCAATTTCCAACCTCCTCCATTCCACCTCTACATCTTTAGCCAACATCCCACATTCTGGGTTGAACCAAGCTCTGGGCACAGATTGATCATCTTCCCCAAATCTTTCCCACTCTTGGCCTTGGACCCTGCTAGATGGAGTTCCATGGCTGTAGACACTTTCTATCAGGAATGCCTGTAGTGACTGTTTCATCTGAGCACCTAAGTGGACCCCACAACTGCCACACTTATGTGTTCTCTTTTTTTCTTAGGAAAGAAAGCTCTGTCATCCACATGGTGGTAATGAGAGAAAAGAAGTTAGACTTAGAGATGATTCTCTGGGTATTAAGAACATAAAGGGAATGGGCCATCATAATCCTTATGAATGTGTTTCTCCACAAGCTGACCTGGAGAAGGAGACAAAGAGGAAAAACCTCATAAAATGAGTTTATGGCTAGAAAAGTTATATTTGGCTTCCTGTACAAGAGTAATATCCAAGTTGCATGAAGTGTGGTAGAGCTAGAAAAAAACATGATACATACAACTGGCTTCTAGTCCTGGCCCCTCCAATTACTAGCCATTTGACTGCAGGCCATTTGAAATTCAGTCTACCAAACATACCATAGTTTTTCAGTTCCTTCTCATGCTGTTCAGCAGCCCCATCTTGCCCATTTCTATCAAAATTCTAATTGGGTCAGATAAAATAGGATGCCCCCTCATGAAGCCACCTCGAGTCTTCCTAGCCAAAAGAATCTCTCTCCTCTGGAATTCCATATAATTCAAATTCTATTACAACCCTTCTCATATTCTGCTTTGCATGATTCATGGGCACCCCAACTCCACTCCAAACAGGATTGTTGAGTCCTTTTTAAATTTTATAAAAGGTCTTATTCACCTTTATGAACTCATCCTCAGAAGACTATGTATCACAGTGGTTGTTTTAAAATAATGACTCAATAATGAGTATGTGGCTATAGGTTATGATGAAAACAATGACACTAATAGCAAACACTGGAGAAAGAACACTTAAGGCCTTTCTCCCCATGACTGTGCCTTAACCAATACGTTTTATATCTCCCCATCCCCCTCCACAGAAGAAGAGTTACCAATTTGGTTAGTCCAAGCCCCAGGAGTCCACTGGCTCATATATTATGAAAGGCACTGTGCCCTGAATGGTCAGCATCCAGAAAAGAAACTCCCGTCCTTCCAGCCTGGCCCTGATTAGTCCTCTTCTATTCATATCTGGTTGGAGTCCCCACTTGGGGTTCAGTCACACCATCCTCTCCACACCATGCCTGCACACACAGGTCCTCAATTCAGATCTGGAGCTGAGAGAGGGAAGAAAGGTAGGCCTAGACTATTTTCCAGCTCACTTGTTACCAGTGATCCCATGATGGAGGATATTGGGTATAACTCAGATACTAATAAAATGGTACTCTGACAGTTTGCTCTTGTTCCTTAAGCACATTGTTTCCTTGGGAGCCCTCAGGAGTTGGGATGATTGGCAGGGCAGAATTTCAGCTTCCCTGTGTCTCTGAAATAAAACCACAATAAAAGCAACAAAATCTCACCTCAAACATGTAAAAATGATGTGTAGAAAAGTTGACGTAAACATGGAGAAGAGATCTTACTTTAATATGCATATGCTATAATGGTGAATAATACAATAGTTGGGCTCCAGGGTCAGAAAGAAAAATTGAACAAGAGGAGCAGCAATAAATAAATATGAAAGACCTTCAACTGACCTTGCTCATAGGTGGGCTGTGAGGCTTTCTGGCTCTAAAGACCCTCTTCTAAGGAAGGGCACAGGGTAAAGAAATTATCCTCTTATGGCAAACGTCTTTCAGACTGACTCTGATCCTGGCCCAGAAGCTGCTTGCTGACCAGCAAATGGACAGAAATGTTCTCTTCCTCATCCTGCACATAGGGCAACTGTAAAAAGTTCAGAAGCTCAGCCACTCTTACAGACTTGGCAGCATAAACCCTTCCCTTTCCTTCAACAAATCAGGACATTCCTTTTCTTTATCAAGCATAAAAGAATTACAACTTAAGCTATTTCACTAAAAAGCTACGGTATAGTAAGAGAAAAAACACCTCATTCAAAAGAGAACAAAAGGGAAGTTTTTCTTGAATAGAGATTTTAAACTATCTAGAATCCAGTCCAGTCTTCTGCTGAACCCGGCTTTGGGACTGGGACTGATTCTCAGTTAGTCGCAAAGGCTGTGCTCTTTCCCACACTCTCCTCTGTTCTTTCTGTGGTGTCCCCATCAATGCCCTTAACACCCTGAGTCCACCATCTAGATGTTCTTGACAAAATGTGAAATATGAATCTGGTTACACCCCTACACCTACATGTTTTTAGTTGATACAGAGGGTAGAGAACTATATTAAATAAAATGCCATGGGTATGCAAACAACAAAATTCAGAATGTAAGAAACTCTACAGGATAAAGAACCCAGTTGTTTCAGGAATAAATTTCAAGGGAAAAAAAAGAATAGGAGCTATAAATTATTAGACTTAGAAGACAAAGCAAGAAAATATAATTATGGATCTTGGATCTTAATGCAAAGATTCTAGAAAAAGTATGTGGGTTTTTAAAAACATTAATCAGAAATTAAGGAATTGTTAATTTTTTAGGTATGATAGTATTGTGGTTATTATTTTAGAGTCCTTACCCTTTAGAGGTACACACTAAAATATTTATAAACAATATTTGGGCCCTGGCCGGTTTTGCTCAGTGGTTAGAGCGTCAGCCCAGGCACCAATAAGTTGCTGGTTCAATTCTTGTCAAGGGCACATACCTCAGTTGCGGTTTGTCCCCAGCCTCGGTTAGGGTCATGCAGGAGGTAACCAGTAGATGTGTTCCTCTCACATTGATGTTTCTCTCTCTCTCCCCCTCCCTCCCACTCTATCTGAAGATAAATAGAAAGAAAAAAAAAATGTCCTCGGGTCAGGATTGGAAAAAAAACACAATATTTGGGATTGGCTTCAAAGTATTTCAGTGGACGGGAAGATGGGGAGGGGGTAGAGATGAAGCAAAATTAGCTATGAGTTTATAATAGTTAAAAGCAGAATGATGAATACATGAGGATTCACTTATATATGTTTGAAATTTTCCATTAAAAAAACTCTAAATAGAAAATTACAGAAAATAAAACATTTGAATAGATATAAAAAATAAGGCTACTATAATTCTATGGTAAAAATTCTCTTTTGAGGCATCATCTTTAAGCTTTGGTCTCTAAGCAGACAGGGGAGTCCAAATGGGAAAGACAGCAAGGCCTGACTTCTATCAAAGCTTCTCTCAAGAGACTCCAACTGGCTGAAACCCAGAGACCTGTCTGGCTAAGTTTATGATCAAAGAGAATCTACAATTTAATTCAGGTAAACAGAAAGACCACTGGTGAGCAACTCCCTGCCCGAGGTGGCCCCATGCTCCCACCCAACTTTGGAATACGGACCTCCTAGAAAAGACCAAACTCAGGTCAGGTCAACCCTCACGTCCTACAGACCAGAAGGCAGAGGCTTAGGAAAAGCCTTCCACTGGGTTTGGCTGCCAGGTGGCCGTAAGCTCTGCCTGGCTTGTCTGGGAAATGGGGAAAAACAAGCTGATTCTGCATCTGAACCTCAATGTTGCTGAGAGGTTGCAGTAACCTACAGTCTCAGATAGTAGTTGTTTCAGATACAGTCTGGTTAGTGCAGCCTCGTGGGGACAACTGAGGGGCCAGAAGGTTGTTTGCTAAATCAAAATTAAACACCATGACTATCTGCCAATACATGGATAAAGTAATGTGTTTCAAAATGGACTGAGGAATGCAACTCTTTGTTATTAAAGTCATTACCATTTATCTTATTTACAGTAGAAAATGGGAAAAAAAATCCCAGTAAAAGAATATTAAGAGGTATTATGAGACAAATCACATCTTGCAATTATAGTACAGAATCAAAAAACTAACTTACTCAGCAGCCAGCATTCAGAGGCACAGAATTACAACATAGCCGTGCAGTCCATGCAAATTATGCAGTCGCCAGAATTTCAAACAGAAGGAAACCCTTTAGTAATGGCAAAATAACGTAAGAAAGCTCAAACACAGATACAATACTGCATCCTCTCATTTTTAAAGAAATGCACTGTTAAATGCCTACAACATCTTTATTTTTCCTAAATTGGCACTCATGCAAAATAGACTGCTACCATCTCATCATTTCCAGTTGGCATTCAGGACCCCAAGCACCTCAGATGACAAGGATCTAGATACACTGAGGACAGAGATTATTCATTAACAAGAGGTAGGTGGTGAATGCATTTCAGGGCAAGAAGCTGAAAGGACCAAGGCACAGGCTCAGATCCCAGGTCCAGAAGGTTCATGGGAGCATCCACAGGTTCCACCTTGGGTGGCTCTGAAAATCAAATACATTCACTAAAATGTAAACTCTACAAGGTCAGGGATTTTCCTGTTTTATTCACTGATATCTCTCAAGCATCTACAAAAGTTCCCGGCACACAGTTGGGCCTCAATAAATATGTATGGAATTAATCAAGTGAGAACACAGAGAGAAGCATTTTATATACTGTAGAGTGCCATCAAATATAGAGTATTAATACTAGTTCACCTTTCAGGCTTATTTAATTAGATCTTTATACAGAGAACTGAATGTTTTTAAAAATATTCTCATATTTATTCAGTGATCAATAGCAAAATATTAATTTCCTAATAGATGTGTGGACAGTTGTTATAATACAAGGAATAGAATGGGGAAACTTTACAGATGAGGATAGAATATTACAAAGGGAGCTACAGATAAAGTAAATAAACGACGCTGCCTGAGTGATCCCAACGGAGGGAAAGCTCCAGCACCCAAGCAGGAAGGGCAAAATGAGTGAGCACAAGACTATCTTCTCACACAGCACTCACCACAAACATGACTTAGAACATGAAAATCAATGGTTTTGTGTGTGCTTCCAGTGCTAAATCACAAGCTCCAGGAGAACAAGGTCTCATCTGTCTCCTTCACCACTGTACTCCCAGTGCCAGGCATATAGTAGGTGTTCAATAAATATGTGTTAAATGGAAAAGAGAGCGGGGGAAGGATGGTACATAGAATCCGTATCCTGGCAGGCAGGATACAGACCTCAGAAAAATGAGGTTCAAGCTGTCAACAGCAGACAAAATTTTGCCTTGACTACCAGACTTGCTCAGGAGGTGGATATAAACATCCACTGGAGGAGAAAAAGCTCAACATGAACTAAAACTCAGGATATTATTTTCCCAAAGATGGTAAGAAAAAGTGTCAGCACCACTTGGGTAAGAGACAGGAAAAGCTGTGCTCTCTGGGAATTCAAAATGAACCCGGCCTTGCCCTTTTCCTTCTGAACAAATGGAAAGCAAATGGGTCAAAGTGTCTTTTTGCACCCAATAACCCCTCAACACCCCTTCCAGAACCCTTCAGTGAGTAAAGATGAATGACAACCTCCAGTAAGGCCTCCCTCCACTTGGTGGTCCTGGAAGGTCGCACCTTGACCAGCACCTTGCATTAGCAAAAAAGGTGCAGTTTCACAGAGCACCCTTACTGCACAGGGATCTCCTGACGATGCTGAGTTTTCTGGTGCCGGTTGAGAATGGACCTCTGGTTGAAGCTCCTCCCACAGGCAGGGCAGTGGTAGGGTTTCTCACCAGTGTGGATCCTCTGGTGTCTGACCAGACGCTCCCCTTTACTGAACCGTTTCCCACACACCTGGCACCCATACGGCTTCTCCCCCGTGTGGGCTCGCCGGTGCACGGCCAGGTTAGCGTTCCTGCTGAAGCTCTTGCCGCACTCACAGGTGTAAGGCTTTTCCCCAGTGTGAGTTCTCCGGTGCACCTGAAGATGCTGTCTCCGGCTGAAGCTTTTCCAGCAGTCCCCACACTTGTAGGGCTTCTCCCCTGTGTGACTCCGCTGGTGGACCTCAAGGTGGTGCCTCTGACTGAAGGTTTTCCAGCACTCACTGCACACATAGGGTCTCTTTCCCAGGTGGGTTCGCTGGTGCTTCATGAGGTACTCTCTAAGAGTAAACCCTTTCCCACATTCAACACAGCCATAGGATTTTTCTTCTTCATGTGTTCGCTGGTGTCTGACGAGATTTGAGCTTCGACTGAAACCTTTCCCACACTCAGGGCACTGAAAAGGCTTCCAGAAGGAGCTGTGGGTCTTGAGGTCATCAGGCACAGGTAGGATGCCATGCTGGGGAGGAGGCGGCCCTGGAATGTTTCCCACAGAGTTACCGGGCTCCTGCTCACAGGTTCTTCCAAGCTCAGGGCTCTGGAGAGCAGCTTCCCCAAACCTCTCTGACGTCCCCTGAGCAAGTGCCACCTTGAGGTCTGCCTGCTGGATTTTGGCCTCCTTTTCCTTGCTCCCAATGCCTATAGGACAAAGGAGATACAGACTGATTCTGTAACAGCTATGAAAGTAAATTTATGTTCATACAGAATGGTGCAACCACTGTGGAAAAACAGTATGAAGTTTCCTCAAAAAATTAAAAATGAAACTGCCTTTTGACTCAGCAATCCCACTTCTGGGTATATATCCTAAGAATCCCAAAACACCAATCAGAAGGAATATATGCACCCCTATGTTCATAGCAGCGAGATTTACAATAGCCAAGATCTGGAAACAGCCAAATGTCCATCGGTAGATGAATGGACAAAAACGCTGTGGTACATTTACACAGTGAAATACTACACAGCTGTAAAAAAAAAAAAAAAGGAGCCCTGGCCAGTTTGGCTCAGCGGTTAGAGCATCGGCCTGCGGTCCGGAGAGACCCGGGTTCGGTTCCCGCTAAGGGCACGTACCTCGGTTGCAGTTTGTCCCCAGCCCTAGTTGGTCGTGCGGGTGGCAGCCACTCAATGTGTCCCTTTCACGTCGATGTTTCTCTCTCTCTCTTCCTCTCCCTCCCACTCTATCTGTACAAAAAATGGAAAGTGTCCTCGGGTGAGGATAAAAAAAAAAGGAAAGAACTCTCACCCTTTGCAACAACATGGATGGACCCAGAGATTATTATGCTAAGCAAAACAAGCCAGTCAGAGAAAATACCATATGATCTCACTAATATGTGGAATCTCACTAACATGAACAAAATAAATTGACAAACAAGACAGAATCAGAGACACAGATACATGGAACAGACTGACAAATGTCAGAGGGGAGGGTAGTGGGGGGGGGGGGGCTGGATAAAAGAAGATGAAGAGATTGGCCAAAGAACATATATGCACAGCCTACAGACACAGACAACAGTGTGGTAAAGGCAACAGGGTTAGTGAGTGGAGGAGAACAAAGGGAGAGCGGGGAAAATGGGGAACATCTGTAATAATGTCAATAATAAAACATTTTTTAAAAGTATATGTTAGAATTAATTCCTTCTTTTTTCCTTTGACCAACAACCTCAATACATTTTACTTTCTTTGACCCTAATGCCAGACTTTTCTTTACTTCTTTCCATCTCTCTCATGGACTAAATGTCTGTGTGTCCCCCATGCCCAATTCATAGATTGAAGCCCTAAGCCCCAATAAGTTGCTCTAAAGAGGTAGAGAAAAACCAGAGCTCTCTCTGAACAAAGAGGTCATGTGGCCCAGATTCCTCATGATGGGATTAGTGTCCTTATAAAAAAGAGAAAGAGATAGAGATTTTCCCCCCACCCCAATCTCTGCCATGAGGACAAGTCAAGAAGGTGGTAGTCTGCAAACCAAGAAGAGGGCCTTCACCAGACACCAATCTGCTGTCACCTTGATCTTAGACTTCCCAGTCTCCAAAACTGTGAGAAATAGTCTGTTGTTTAAATCACCCAGTCTTTAGTATTCTGTTGTAGCAGCCCAAGCTAAGACAAATTCCATGCCTTTTTACAGGATAGTCTACCAAATTTTAATGTCTTCCCATTTAACTTTCTAATTCAGATTATTCTATTTCCTTCAAAATCTAACTCAATGATTTGCTCTAAGAAACAAACCCTGACTATTCTCTTACTGTGGGTCTCTTCAGCACATATGTATTCAATTAGCACTTTGTATATTCTGCACTTATTTATATATGACCTTGTTGTAAATGCTACTTTATATCCATCCAAACATTTTGCCTCCCTCAGTGATTATAAACTTACTCCAGCAATGGAGAGCTACTTGCAGTTCTCCATATCCTCCATTCACCTGCTCAGCTCACCTCCCTGCTCACATTGCTCCCTCTGCCTAGCCTTGTTTATTAGTCTGGGTCTCCTGGGAACTTGGCACAGGGACTGACTCAGGAAAGATGCTTAATGACTGTTGGATGAACAAATAAACCCAGTTTGTCACTGACATTCTTATGACAGACTGTCTCTACTATCGCATTTTATTAGGACCAAAATGTCTGTGAATGTTACTGAAATGCCTTGCCCCTTCTAGAAGTCCTTCCTCTGACCCCTCTTACACTCTTCCTAAATTAACAGAACAATTGTTTATAGAAGAACAAGAGGAAAGGGGAGAGAAAAATGATGAGAAAAGGTAATAGGAAGCAAAGAAGCCAAAAGAGAAATGGCAAGTGGTGCTTAAATGGAAAAAAAAGTCCAGGCAAGATCATTAGAAGATAAATACAGAAATTACATGCTTCCTGATTTGATAAAAATATCAAAGACACAGCTATCACTTCTGATGTATTCTTTTGTTTCATAAACTTTTCATGACAGTAAGTGTACAAAACATAAATGTAGAGCTCAGAATTATGAAGGAATTTTCATAATGAACACAACCCTGTAAACAGCATCCAGTTCAAGAAACATTACCAGCCCTCGGAAATTCCACTCCCATCCCCTCCTCCCCATTAAATCCTGCCCTCAGGGTTAACATGCTATCCAGATTTTTAACACCATAAAGTACCTTTGCCTGTTCTTGAACTTTACATAATTGATTCACTCATTATTTCTGGCTTCTGTTCAATAGTATTATGCTTGTGAGATTTACCCATATCGAGGTGTGCAGCTGTAGTTACACTACATTCTTTTTCACTTGTGTATAGTATCACAGTGTAAGAACATATAGAACATATTCCAACCTATTTATTAATTTCACTGATGTTCATTTGGGTAGTTTCCAGTTTATAGGTGTCATAAATAGCAAAATTAAAACTAAATGCAATACATAAACCTTAACTAGACCTTGAGGAAATGTAAATATGTGCTACATATTATGAAATTTATGTTATGTTCATTTATTTTTTTTGAAACAGAGAAAAATCGTATTTGTTGTTCCACTTATTTATGCATTCACTGTTTGATTGTTTATATGCCCTGAGCAGGGATTGAATCTGCAACCTTGGTGTATTGAGAAGACACTAACGAACTGAACTACCTAGACAGGGCATTGTATTTATTTTCACAGGCTTAATCCTACACAGCTGTCAATGCAAGAGCTGTAAGTACTTGGGAATGAATCTAGATCTGAAGGTTGAGACAGCCAGCAGAGGGTATGCCTGGGAAACAGAACTTCACCTCACCCAGCTTCAACATAAATGCTTAGGAAAATGTTTGGGTTGTTCTGAAACAATGAGAGAATAAGAGAACAAACATAGTCACAGTCTCTAGAACAGTTAGAAATGGCCTGTAAAAACCCTCTTGGGCCCTGGCCAGTTTGGCTCAGCAATTAAGAGTGTTGGCGCACAGACTGAAGGGTCACAGGTTCGATCCCCGGTCAAGGGCATACATCTGGGTTGCAGGTCCAATCCCGTCCTGGTTAGGGAGCATGGAGGAGGCAACCAATTGATGTGTCTCTCCCACATCGAAGTTTCTCTCTCTCCTCTCTCTGTCCCCCTTCCATTCTCTCTAAAAAATTCTTCTACACAGTCACATGGCTTGCAGAGTTATATCCCTGACAGGGATTAAGACACTAGAATGATGGTACCTCCATTTGGGCACACTGCCTGAGCCCCTGCACTATGTAGTTATCTCTGAGGGTTTACACATCCCCTGCCATTGAGTAATCTTACATCTCTTTCTCATAATGTGACAACTTTGTATTGACCCAGGTCTCCTGAGCCCCTTCCTCTAGTGCCCCTTACACTACTCCAAAATGAGTATTATTACAGGTACTTGGGGTCTTCATCAGACTGTTAAGATCGTAGAGGCAAGCACCTTTTCTGCTGTTGTTGTTAATACTCATCTGAGGATATTTTTTCCATTGATTGTTTTTTTTAGAGAGGGGGATAGGAGGAGAACAACATCATCGTTGAGAGAGACACATCCATTGGTTGCCTCCCACATGAACCCCAACCGGGGCGAGGATCAAATGTGCAACCCAATTACATGCCCTTGTCCAGGAATCTAACTCGTTACCCTTCAATGCTTGGGCCTATGCTCTAACCACTGGGAAACACCAGACAGAACAATTACTTCTATTTCTTCTATTTTTATTTTTTTTAATGTTTTTATTGATTTTTTAGAGAGACAGAAACATTGTGAGAGAGAAACATTGATCGGCTTCCTCCTACATGCCCCCTACTGGGGATCGAGCCCACAATCCAAGCATGTGCCCTGACTAGGAACTGAACTGGGACCTCTCAGTCCATGGGTCGATGCTCAATCCACTGAGCCACACCGGCCAGGCAAGCACTTTGATTTTTAACTTTATCATGATTACCTGAGTGTTAGCCACATAGTAAATGCCAAATAAACATTTTTGGGCAAATAAATTAATAAATACTGACTGACTCACAAAGGAATCACTTACTAATACTTACAAAACCAATAAAAATATCTAACACTACCATGCTTGCCAAATGTTTAGATTTATTATCTCAATTCCTCTTAATGCCAAGAGACAGTGTTCTATGAACACCCCCATTTTACAACCAAGAAAACTAAGACGTGAAAAGGTCAAGTGAGATGCCAATGGTCACAGTAAGTGGTGGAGCCAGCATGGGTTCTCTCATGTCCTGAAGCAAGTACAGTAATATTCTTGCTCATCCCTCAACATATATCAAGATGAAAAATGGCCAGGTGGGGTCAGGACATATAAGTAAGTAGTCAGTCTACAACTTACAAAGAAGTTATTAAAAGGATTAAAAGACAATTAAAGAAAACAAAGGAGGGATCAACCACATTTCTTTTCCTGTCTCTACTGTGCTTCTCACTGAGCCCAGAGATTTTCCACACTATTCTTCACTTGGAAGTCCCCAAGCCCCTGCAGTGCCCTCTGCTGGCTTTCCCCACAGGGCGTTTACCCTGCTAACTCTTCCCTCCTCTTTTCTCCTGCTACTCCTTCTCCTATGAACTCTTTTCATGTGCATGACAGCTAAGTCCTCCCAGCTCTCACTTCAGGTAAAACCCAGCCACCCAATGAGAGGCCAAACTAAGGCTCTGCCAGCTCTGACACAGGCCCACACTGACCCCTCCTGTCTCTAAAACCCTACTGTGTGCATTCTCATACTCTCCTCTAGACACTCGACCCACTCTGAAGGTTTCATGTACATAGTCCTCCTCAACACAAAGCTATTAATATGGGGCCGACCACAGGAGGCACTCAGTAAATACAACCTGAATGACCAAGATCAGAGGATCCATCCTTTGCTGCTTTTCTCTTGCACTCAAGCCCTTAGTACCCTTCAATCATGGACACAAGATTAGGTGCTCGGGGAATCCCAATGACCAACCTGTCTAGTTATAGCCAGAATAACTACCTCATGTTTTCTTGCCCCTTGTCCGCTCCTCTCCTGACACAGAAATGCACCTAGCCAGTTCTCACACCCTTAATCCATGTTCTTTCTCTAGTCCCATTTACTCATCAGCCATGAAAACCCCTTCCTTTGTCAGTAGCACCAAGTTCTGAAATCTGGAGCAAGGTTGTGGCTTCCAAAATGCCTCAGTTTCTTACCTGTGGGATGGAAACAGTCTTACCTGGAGGTGAGACCCCACAGTCCTGTGGTTCCACATATTCCCCAAAGCAGTCTATCTGGGCTGGGGTCACATGCCTCCATTCTTCCTCTGGGAAGGCCAGAGCCATATCTTTAAATGGTCCCAATCCCTGAAATAACAGGAGACTACTATGGATAAAGAAAGAATCCCGAAGTAGGAGCAAACTAAAACCAGAGAGACCGCAGGGGTCAAAACTCTAGGGAAGAACAGAGCAAGAAGATGGAAGGAACTAAGGTCCCTAGCTGGCCTTGGGAGCAGAAGTGCCTGGCTCTTGACAGTTTAATGACAAAGAATAATGGATTTGTTTAAGCCACTTTACTTTTGAGTCTCTACTGCAGATGCTTAGCTTGTACCTAATAAATACAGCATCCAATTTCCACTTTCCAATCACCTCCACTCAATCCTTAAGCTTGAGCAAGCCTGAAAGCTCCTATTTACCCCCTTGTCTTAAACTGATTTTCCCTCAGAGATAAGGAAACATTTGGGCAAGCCCTGTCTTAACAAAGCCATGTTAAAATTAATGCAAGGTCATTCACAATACCATGAAGAACTATTATGGTAGATGAAGAGGGTTTGACCAAATTAAAACGTTGTTGTCGTTCTGCATTTTCTCCAAACCCCATCCATAGAAAACAAGAATAGGAAATGATGTAGGCATCAAACTTTGCCCAATTCTGCTTTAGCTACATGAGACTTGACTCACTTCTTTTTTTCTGCCAAATGACATTTTTCCTTCTACAACGAACTCTTCACTTTAAGACTTGTCCCTTTCACCCTGGATGGTCTGGCTCAGCAGTTAGAGCGTCCTGTAGTCCAGAGAGACCCGGGTTCGGTTCCCACTAAGGGCATGTACCTCGGTTGCAGTTTGTCCCCGGCCCTGGCTGGGTTGTGCGGGTGGCGACCACTCAATGTGTCCCTTTCACGTCAATGTTTCTCTCCCGCCACCCCCCCAACCCCTCCCACTCTATCTGAATGGAAAAATGTCCTCCGGTGAGGATTAAAAAAAAAAAAATAGACTTGTCCCTTTCAGAAAGGTGCCACAGTAGAAATCCCCCAACCTGCCTGGCAATGTCATGGAAGAGACTTACACTGTGGCAAGGTTCCCCATCTTTTCTCTAGTTACCCCACTCATGGCAGGCTAAGAAATGCAAACAAGACCAAAACTCCTGTTGTGGCCAGAGTAGGGGCCAGACAGACCACTCTGCTCAGCACTCCTGAGAGCCCTCAACCCTAAGTCAGCTACATTCCTCTCACATGGAGGGTGGGGAGGTCCAGAGGAAGAAGGGCAGCATAAGTATCCATAAAGGCTATCTACAAAGGCTTACTGTCTCCTGGCCAACCACCAATATCCTAGATCAGGCCTATGAGGTTTCTATCAACAATGCCCTCCTCTCTCACTATTAAAAGAGTAATACTAGGTCAACTAAAAAAAACTCAAAAAGTAGTACAAACAAGTGAATTGAGCCTGGACCATAGGCACAGACTCAATTCAAAATAACAATTGAGGATGGCGAAGTGGAGAGAACAATGCCTGTCAGAACAAGAAAGGTAGACTAATTCCACTTTGTGAGTGGAGCTCCATGGTTCACTCCTGGGGAAAGTGAACCTCACTCAAAGCAACATCATGATCACCGGAAGGGCAGAGACTCAGCTCACCTGGGACCCAGCCATAAGGAACCCAACTGCCATCTCTTGGTCTCTGGTGTTCACTGTGGGGAGGCCAGGACCAGCCTGAAGAACTGGCAGAGCTGAGCAGGGAGAAAAAACCATAAGCAGGATTAGTGCTATCTTACAGTTAGCTCGTTCAAAGGTGTCCACTACTGACATAAAGAACCCCAGGAACCAAAAGAAGACTCCAGATAGATGGGGGTCTGGGTGTACCCCACCCTGTTCTCAGTTGGAAAGATGGTCCCAACCCAATACACCCTGTCCCTTCAGAACTATGCATGCTGGAAAGAACTGCCTTTGAGATTCAGTGACACAACAAAGTCACACATTACTTTTAGGGATATGGTTGATCTGCCTACTTAAAAATATCTCTACATGTCAGCTGCTTATTTCCTGAGAATTTTTAGAAGGGATGTGAGGGAAAGGAGACAAATGACAAGAGAGTATGATCCCAAATATCCCCTGCAAAAATCAGAGTGAAGGTACAGGAAACAATTTCACTTCATCTGTTTCCTACCAGAGTCAAGGAAGTAGCCAGAAAAAATCAGAATTACACCTGGCAGGTAACTTAGTTTATGAATTGTTGGGTTTGTAAAGGAAGAGGAGGGAGAGGGCACAAACCACTATTTCCTATTCCCTTACTTCCTTACTGTTTGCATCTTACCCTGCTCCTGGAAGGCCTGCGTCCCAGCACCAGAATCCTGATTGAGCTGCTCCTCAGTGCCTTGGTCTAGGCCTTGAACGCCTTCCCCATGGGGCATCCCCCACTCAGGCTTGACCTCCACTGGTCCCAGGTGGATGCCGGGTTCCCAAGGGCCTCTGCAAACTGCTGTCTCCTCCTGCTCCCCCTGCACGTGGCATGGAACCTAAGAACAGGCCCCAAAACCTATTTAGAATGAGGCCTGGTTATGAAGGGAGTTGAATAAAACCTAAAAGAGAGCCAATAAAAGAATCATTCCAGCTGCAGGGGAACGGAAGGACAAGCTGGCTCAGCTCTTCACCAGGACATCAGTGAGAAGGTGAAAAGAAAGCTAAACTCCCTTTCTCAAATTCTGACCAACTTTAAATATCCATGCCATTTTACAAGGGTCTCTTCTGTCTGCCTCAATAGAGATCAAATTCTACCATGAATAACATCACAGAGAGCCAAACTATTGTCTTGCTACTAGAAAAAAAATTGCCCGGTTTTAGATGATGAAAGTAAAAAGCACAGAACCTAAACTCTGCAATAAATTAGCTAGTGAAAAAACGTCGCTTTGTTCTTCCCCAACCAACAATCAGGTGGCTGTATCAAAGAGTGACAGAGATATTGCCAGAGTCTCAAGGAAGCATCTGTGGTGCAATTACTTGGTGTCACCAGAACACCACCACAGAATGCTATGTGAGCCATTTGTGCTGACAGCCCAGATGTGGAACCAGCACCATTACAGACAACTCTTCTCAGTGGGATATTCACCAAGTGGATTTCCACACGCTACTCTGCCCAAAGAGGAATGGATCTAGGAGGGACCTTGAAATGCACCACAGCTGCCTTCTTTGAGCCTGAGGCTCATAAGGACATATGGTCAGACTTCTGCCCTAATGACCAGAAAAGAATCACCGGGAATGGCTTTTCTTGCTGAAAATTCCACTGTCCCACCCCACCCCCAAGTACCTCTGGAAGTATAGGAGCAGAGGAAGATTCTGCACCTCAACCACTCCCACACTTCCTCTAATCTTTCAATTCTTCAAATCTCCCCTCACCACACCAACAAAATAAGACCTGAGATCCCCTTCTCACCCACCGCCTTGGCCTCCAGTGCTCTCTCTGTGAAGTCCTCCACCATGGCTACCAGAGCCTTGCCACTCTCGGGGCCATGCTCCCGAATCCAAGCATAAAACTCCCGGGGCAGGATGGTCAGAAACTGCTCCAGCACCAGCAGCTCCAGGATCTGCTCCTTGGTGTGCAGCTCAGGCCTCAGCCACTGGCGACAGAGCTCCTGGAGTTTCCTGAGGGCTTCCTGGGGACCAGCTGCCTCCTGGTAGCGGAACTGCCGAAACCGTAGCCGAAAAGTCTCAGGACTAGGGTCCTCCCTTCCCCTGCCCCATGGCAACTCTTTCTCCAATTTTACCACAGGAACACCCATCTGCTGATGATGATCTTCTGCCATCCCTGGACGCTCTTTAAGCATCTTTCACACTCCAACCCAGGAAACTCAGGGTCTGTTGGGAAGATCAAACAGACAATGATCATAAATGAGAAACAGATTAGTCCACCCCACTGTCTCTACATCAGTGAATTCTGCTGGAGAACATGGCAATTACCTTCTAGGAGATATTTTCAAAAGACTAAACATATGTCTTGAAAATCATGTCAATTCAATTCAGTATTTGCTAACCACCTAGTATGAACAGAGAGTAAATATAAAATGTATAAGGTTTAGCTTATACCCACAAATATCTCAGGATGCCATTAGAAAGATAACACTACAGTCAGAGAATAATATAAGAAGGGTGATAATAATGAGGGCCCACTCTTCCAAAACTAAATAAAATAAACATTATATATATACATACACACACACATAAATATATATATGGCACGCCCACAGAAACTAGAAATACAGTAGAGAACAAGACAAAGTGCTTGTCCTTTAAAACTCATATACTAGTGCAGAAGACAGAAAAAAAAACAATTGTAAGCAAATAAATTAAAATTATAAGTAAGGACTTCCGGTCAAGATGGCAGTGTAGGTAAACGTGGTATAGCGTCCTTCCACAACCACATCAAAGTTACAACTAAACTACAGAACAATCATCATTCAAAACCGCCTGAAATCAAGCTGAATGGAAGTTCTACAACTACGAAATTAAAGCAGCATCGAGACTGGCAGGAGGGGCGGAAGCAGACGGGCTGGTACCTCACCCACATGTGGCAGATAACAATCAGGAGGATACCTCGGCTGGGAAGGTCCTCCCTGAGGAGTGAGGGGTCCCTGTCCCACACCAGGCGCCCGCTCAGGGTTCCAGTGCCAGGAAGAGAAGTCCTCATAACTTCTGGCTGGAAAAACCAGTGGGAACTGAGGCTCAGGGAGGCTAAGGCAGCTGGAGCCCCAGGCAGCTCCTCTTAAAGGGCCCCCGCACGGAACGGACTTACTCGGACACACTCCCTCTAAGCTCAGAGGGGAGGCAGCTCAAGGAGTGCCAGAGACATACAGGGAAGAACTGAGCTGTTTGGCATTGGAGGGAGGTCTGGAGAGGGGGCTTTCTCCAGGACAGACTACTGTCAGAGGTCCTTTGTTCCTTTGGTGAGCCCTTCCCTGGGGCAGCAGACAGCCTCCATTTCTGGGACTCCAGCAACCTGGCTCACACTGGTAGCCCCGCCCTGGTGATTCCCTGAGGCCCCGCCCCACCCAACTTTCAGGCCCACTTAAGCTGTTGCCAGTTGCTTTACCATAGGATTGGCCTGTCTTGGATCTTGCTTCAGGTTTTCGTAAATTCTTTCAAACAGGCAGCATCTGGTCTCAGCTAGCCCCATACTTCTCGTTAAGTATACATAGAAACAAACACAGGGAGGCAGCCAAAATGAGGAGACAAAGAAACAGGTCCCAAATGAAAGAACAGAACAAAACCCCAGGAAAAGAACTAAGTGAAATGGAGATAAGCAACCTAACAGATGCCGAGTTCAAAATGCTGCTTATAAGGATGCTCAATGATCTTAGTGAGAACCTCAGTGAACTTGGTGAGGGCCTCAAGAGCATAAAAAAGGGCCAGTCAGAAATGAAGGAGGCACTAACTGAAATAAAGAATAATTTACACAGATTCAATAGTAGAGTAGGTAAAGCCAAGAAGCAAACCATCGATTTGGAATATAAGGAAGCAAAAAATACCCAATCAGAACAGGAAAAAGAAAAAAGAATTCAAAAAAATGAGGATAGTGTAAGGAGCCTCTGGGACAACTTCAAGCGTGCCAACATTCGCATCTTGGGGGTGCCAGAAAGAGAAGAGAGAAAACAAGAAATCGAAAACCTATTTGAAACAATAATGGTAGGAAACTTCCCTAACTTGGTGAAGGAAAGAGACATACACGTCCAGGAAGCACAGAGAGTCCCAAACAAAATGAACCCCAAGAGGCCCACACCGAGACACATCATCATCAAAATGCAAAAGGTTCAAGACAAAGAGAGAATCTTAAAAGCAGCAAGAGAAAAGCAGTTAGTTATCTACAAGGGAGTTCCCATTACTGTCAGCTGATTTCTCAAAAGAAACTTTGCAGGCCAGAAGGGAGTGGCAAGAAATATTCAGAGTGATGAAAAGCAAGAACCTACAACCAAGATTACTCTATCCTGCAAAGCTGTCATTTAGAATCAATAGCCATAGAAAGAGTTTCCCAGACAAGGAAAAGCTAAAGGAGTTCATCACCACCAAACCATTATTATATGAAATGTTGAAGGGTCTTTTTGAAGAAAAAGATAAAATATATGAACAAACAGAATGGCAATGAATACGTATCTATCGGCATCTATCGGCAATGAAATCTACAAACAAAATGAACAGGCAGAACAGAAACATTCTCATAGATACAGAGAACATTTTGTTGGTTGCCAGATGGGAGGGGGTTGGGGGAATGGGTGAAAAGGTGAAGGGATTAAGAAGTATAAATGGGTTGCTAGACTGACAAACCTCAAAGGGAAGGCGGTTTGGGGGGTGGGAAGAAATAAACCAAAGAATTTACATGCATATATGCATAACCAATGGACACAGACAACAATGTGGGAAAAGGCAAGAGGGGGGTAGGAGTGGGGAGGAGGAAGTCAATGGGGGAAAAATGAGGAACATCTGTAGTACATTCAACAATAAAGATAAAAGAAAAAAGAATCACTGTAAAAGAAAAAAAAATTATAAGTAAGGATAAGTTCTAGAAAGGAAATAAGTAGGGTCTGTTAATGGGGAAAAAACAACTTCAAGAGGGTTTTTCTGAAGAGATGACACTAAGAGCCCTGGCTGGTTTGGCTCAGCAATTAGGAAGTCGGCCTGTGGACCAGAGAGTCCTGGGTTCAGTTCCCGCTAAGGGCACATTCCTCAGTTGCAATTTGTCCCTGGCCCTGGTTGGGGTTGTGTGGGTGGCAGCCACTCAATGTGTCTCTCTCACATTGATGCTTCTCTCTCTCTCTCTTCCCCCCTCTCTCCCTCCAGCTCTATCTGAAGATAAATGCAAAAATGTTCTCGGGTGAGGATTGAATGAATGAATGAATGAATGAATAAATAAATAAATAAATAAAAGAGATGACACTAAGACTGAGACCTAAAGGATGAGCATGAGCCAGTCATTCAAAGAGCATTCCAGGCAAAAGCTTTGAGGCTAGAAATTACTCTACATGTTGGATCACAAACCAAAGTGTAGTGTGGCTTCAGCAGACTGGGTCAGGGACAGAGCTACACAAGAAGTAGAAGCAGAGGTAGGCAGAAATCAAATTATCCAGGGCCTGGGCCACAGTAGGAATTATGGACTTTACTCTTTCTTGTTTTATTAGTGAGCTACATGTTTTACAAAGGTCACTTTGCCTGTAGTATGTTGAGAATAGATTAGAGGGGAAAAGGAGAGAAATAGCACTTACTGTGGTCCAAGCAGGAGATGCTAGGACTCAGATCAGGATGGTGGCAAACAAGCAGGCAAAGTCAAGACATATTTGGGAGGTAAACCCAATAAACTTACTGGTGGCTTGGGTGTGTGCTCAACCTAAAGACAACAGAGCAACATATATATAATTATTATAACTGACTGAAAGAGTGCTAACTTGTATAGGCTTTACCATTTAGAAAGCACGTGAACACATACTCATTTAATACTTACAACAATTCTGTATGCTAAGTACTACTTCCCCTACTTTTCAGAAGAAGAAACTGAAGATGCAAGAGGTGAGATGGTCGGCCAAGGTCAGCAATACCAAAATATATGGTTTGGATAGAAACACTGGGAAGTCAAAAAGATAAAGGTAAATTTAGGTTCAAGTACTTATGAGAAAAAAGAAGTTTGTACTAGACTGGAGAATGAGTACTGTTTAATTCCCCTGAGGGGTGGGGGGCGGCAAAGGGGGTGACTTAAAGCAGGTTAAGGCTCTTGGCTTTTAGGGGGAGGGAAGATCTCTCTGAATGGAGCACAGAATGAGCAACTGACAGGGGCCAAATCCTAAGTTTCTGCCTAATATTCTATTAGGTGTTTATATATTTACCTACTCTTCTTAAATCTATTTTACATTTTTGGTCTATTCATTTTTTTTTTCCTGCATCAATTGAGATTGCTCTCATGACTTTGTAGCTATTGCCATTTATCCCACGGTAGCGCAAATGTTTACCAATGTGTCTCTGTCTACCAGATTCCCTGAAGGCAAGAAAAGTCCTCCCTCATCTTTTATTCCTGACACCTGACATATAGAAGGCGTCCCATAGCTATTCGTTAAATGAGTGTCCTACGTGTTGCTCTATAATAACTACTTTCACGTTTCCGATAGTTTCGCTTTGGTCAATGTCTCGGATACGTGAACAACCACCTTGTGCTAGGCCAACCCTGGCCGGGCAAGATCAGCATCGCTCCAACCTGAGCCAGCAGTGGGCGCCCCCACCCCCGCCCCCATCCCCACCCCCACCCCAGGCCCGCCAGGCCTCAGAGCCGCGGCAGGCAGCTCCGAGGAGACGCGCCTCCTGCAGCGTCAGCCCCTCTGCCGCGGCTGCCGCCGAAGCCCAAAACTGCCCCACAGCCCGGCCCGGCGCCCTGACCACCCCCGTGCCTCGTGGCCCCAACCCGGCTCTCACCCAAAGCCCCGCACCGGCGGCAGGTTCCCCAGTGCCCTCCGCGGACAGGAAGTGGGCCGCGGCCGCTGTCAGACAGGTGCGTAAGGAACCGGCCCCTTCCGTTTCCTCTCTAGGACTCTCGGAGGTCGTGGCATCTCGATGGTCTCTCATCCCTGGGCTGGTTTTGACACAAGGGCTGCCTTTGGCTGACTCCTGAAGTAGATTATTTTTAAATTATTCTAGAGAGTTGTATAAGGTGTTCATTCTTGTCCTCTTTTCTCAGTGATGCCATCTGCTGAGAGTGCAAGGGAGGTTGTCATTACCATGGAGAGAAAATAGAAAAGAGCAGAGTTTACTTAAAAATATTTTTAAAACTTTACCAAACATCTGCCTGCCTGGGCTGTCAGGCTATGCGTTGAAGTAAATACTTCACCTCTCTGGTTCTTTATTAACAATATGGGTAGAATTATATCTGGCCTATCTTGAGCAGGGCAAAGTGAAAGTTGTTTTAGCATTAACTACAGAAATGAAGGTTATAGGTGTTCAAAATACTAATATGGACAGTTATGGACTTATAAGTTATGGACTTATATTACCCAACTTAGCCTTTAAGATTTAATATGAATTTTTGAATAGGTATATTTACATGATTCAAGAGTCAAAATCACACAAAAAGTTACACACAGAGAATTATTGCTCCTACCTTTGCCCACTCCACCTGCCCCATCCCTAATCTACCCCATTTCTAAAGGTTTGTTGTTGTTGTTTTGTATGGCCTTCAAGTGTTTATTTGCAAATATTAATATTCATATATTTTCCCTATCTTCTCCCTCTTTCTTACACAAAAGGAAGCACACTAGATACCTTGCTTTTTCTCACGTAATATGTCCTAGAAAATGTTCCACATCAATAATAAAGACCTTTTTCATTTTTTTAAGCTTGTGTCAACATAATTTATCTAAAATGTTTCCTATTGATGAACATTTCAGTTATTTCTAATCATTTATTATGAATTGTGAAGCAATTAATACTCTGCACTTATATTAAAATTTGTGTGCAGGCATTATCTGTTGGATAAGTTCTTAAATAGAGAATGTTGAGTTAAAGCATTAATCCTTCTGCAGTTTTATAGATATTGCCAGATTCCATCCCCAACATATGAGTGTCTGTTTCCCTACAGCTTGGCCAACAGAATGTATTGCATTAAACTTTTGCTTTTTGCAAATCTCATAAAAATAGTATTTCAGTATAGTTGTGTCCATTTTTGAAATTTTTGCATTTCTTTTCTTTTTTAACACAATGATTTGATACTATTTTTAGGTTTGTGTTTGCTAACCCCAATATTGGGATCATCATTTCATCTGCTTCTGTTGGTTATTTTATTTATTTATTTTTTGTCAGTCACATTTTTGCATGTCTAGTAATTTTGTGTGTATGCCAGTATTTGTGCATAAAGGAAGTAAAGAGGCTTAAGGCCTTCCATGATGGGGCAGTGCTTTGCTCCAGAGTGTCTATTCCATTAAAAAACAAAGCACTTTTTGTATTAATTTTCCCAAGTAAATGTTACTCCTTTTAAATAGAAAGAAACTTTATTTTAGTAAAATTTTATTGAATTTGTTTTAAATATTGGTTCTGTCCTTTTATTTCAATTTTATTCCTCAGGGACTCCAATTTAACATAAGTTGGATCCCCTTTACCTGTCTATTATAGCTTTCTCTTTCTCTCTAATCCTTTTATTTTATTTTATTTACTTTTATTATTCTTTTTTTTTTTTAATCCTCACCCAAGGATATTTTTTCATTTATTTTCAGATCGAGTGGGGGGAGAGATAGAGAGAGAGAGAGAGAGAGAGAGAGAGAGAGAGAGAGAGAACATCGATGCAAAAGAGACACATTGACCTCCCGCACAACCCTGACCAGGGCCTGGGGACCAAACCAGAACCAAGGTACATGTCCTTGACCAGAATCCAACCCACGAGTCTGGTCCACAGGCCAAAGCTCTAACTGCTGAGCTAAACTGGTCAGGGCCACTTTTATTATTCTTAATATTTTATGTTTCTTACTGTTCTGGTAGCTATTCTCCCTGGTGCCTCTTGTAATTTGGTCTTCATTCCTGACTCTTTCCAGTTCTTTCTCGAATTCTATCAGTTCCTATTTCATATCCCCCTGTTATTTGGCCCTCATCTTCTGTTGTCAAGATGTTTCTTCTCTAAGTTCCTATAATTCTCATTTGTGGGCTTTTTTTCCTAGATACATTTGCTTCATTGAGTTTTTAAAATAAGTTTTTATTGATTTTAGAGAGAGAGAAAGGAAGAGAGAGAGAGAGATTGATGTGAGAGAGAAATGTCAATCGGTTGCCTCCTGCACAAGTCCCAACCAAGGATCGAACCTGCAACCTGGGCATGTGCTCTGACCAGGAATCAAACTGGCAACCTTTTGGTGCATAGCCCAACTGATCCACACTGGCCAAGGCTTCTTCATTGAGTTTGTAATTTAGCTTAGAATGTTGGATTTAATTTTCCTCTACTTTGTAACAACACTTTTCTGGGGAGTTTTCTTCACATCCAGATTTTTGCTTCTCTCTTTGCTTTTTCCTATGATAATCTTGTACTTTTACTGCTATTTTACCCTTTATTTGAATGAGTTTGATTTTCCTGGATCATTTGCTATTTGCAAATAGATACTGTGGAAACAGAGTCACGTAAGCAGAACACTGTGAGGGCTTTTCCTTCTATTGCTACATTGAGGGACACTTGCTTTTATAGGTCCCATATACCCAACATTCCTCTGATTCTTATATTCTAACAGTTCAAAAGGACTTGTACTACCACTCATTTCCTTCCTTCTATTCTTCATCAGTCATTGCTATCAAAGGATACTGTCATCTGCCTTCTAAGGTGGTCTCCTCTCTTTTGCAAGTGGTGCTTCTTAAAACTTTCCTTTAATAAACTCCCATGTACTTTCCATGCCTCCTCTGTCTCCCAAAACACACATGCCTCATGTTTCCCCTCTAGCCTATTCACAGCCATTCCCTCTCAAAGTGGCTCCTTCTCAGATATCCGAAGGCTAATATTTGCTAATGAATTTTGGAATTTGCCACCACTACAACCCCTACATATTTTCTGACCCACCCCACTGTGCCCACCATGCCACTCTTCCATTGTGGCATCCTATACAGGTTGTGGGGGTTTATGTGGATTGGACCACAATTACATATTTTAGTTTGTAGATTTTTTCTAGTCCTAGTTTCACTGATAACACTAGTTCCTGTATGGATTGTTTTAGGAGAAAAAGTGATATGACTGGAACTAGGCTGTCACTATATCCCTATAAAAAATTCCCAAGATATCATTAGGAGAGAAATATAAGAAACAAAAAACATATAATTAAAATACCTAGTGACTGTTTTTCAGGTGTATATGAATTAGCTCCTTTACTTGGGTCAGCCTCTGGAGAACAGAAACTGATTCTGACACCTCTGTGTACCCCCATGGTACACTGCACAAGGTCACTGCACATGGTATGCTGCACAATGGATAGTGTTTGTAAACACTAACAGTCACAACAGAGCCCACTTGACTCTAGTCATGTCCATCACATCTCCCTCTCCAGGAAGACGTTCAGAGCTCCCTGCACTTGTTTTTGAATTTACACTGTTTAAGTTCTAACAGATTTTTCTACATATGTGTTCTTTAGAGAGAAAAGTGGGGAGGCATTGTTACTTAGTATTGTTGAGATGAAGGGCCTTAGATTATTGTTCTGACTTCCCCATTGCCCCAAAACATTTGTACCTCCTAGTTACTCTCATCCTAGCTGGGGGACTGAATGCTCCTGGGTCTGTAAGCACCATCAGGAATGTGAACAGGGCACATTAGAGGTGCACTCAGGAGGTTTCTGACTCTAGTGGAAGGATGGAATGCCAATACATTGATGGCTAACTTGCTTTATGCTTTCCCCAGAAGCTCAGGCTTCCAGACCTGGGAACTCAATCTTGGGTATGTTTTCACCTTTAACCACCCTAACCCTTCCACCCAACACATACTTAAGAAATGTTTTTTGTACAGAATCACACTTTTTGTATGGGGAAATCACTTTTTAATATGACTAACTCAAACACCTTCTGTTGTGGTTACATTCTGTTCAGTTTTTGTCTTATGAAAGTTCACTTCACTTAATCATTTTGTAATATTTCTCCTTCCCCTCCTGCCCTCCAGGCCAGATTTTTGAGGTATGGACTAACAAGCAGTATTCTTTCTTTTACTGAAAACACCTGCAAAAAGAAAAGAAGGAGGGGAGGGAGGGAGGGAGGGAGGGAGGGAGGGAGGGAGGGAGGGAGGGAGGAGGGAGGGAGGGAGGGAGATCACTCAGGAAGTTCAGAATTCAAAAACTTTTAACAAATTTCGAATATGAAAACATTTTTTTCAAATATGAGCAAAATAGAATCACTGTGTAGGGAAGTGGAGCATTAATTTAACATTCAGGAAGCTTATTTAAAGTAGTAGAGCCTTACCCAGCCAGCGTGGCTCAGTGGTTGAGCATTGACCCATGCACCAAGAGGTCACCTGTTAGATTCTGGGTCAGGGCACATGCCCAGGTTGTGGGCCAAATCCCCAGTGCAGGGCATGCAGGAGGTGGACAATTAATGTTCTCTCTCATCGATGTTTCTATCTCTCTCTCCCTCTCCCTTCCTCTCTCTCTAAAATCAATAAAGAAAAAAAACTTACAAAAAGTAGCAGAGCCTGGTCCTGGCCACTTTTGCTCAGCAGTTAGAGCATCAGCCCATGGACCAAAGAGTCGCAGGTTTTATTCTGGTTGAGGGCATGTACCTCGGTTGTGGTTTGTCCCTGACTCTGGTCAGGGTCGTGCAGGAGACAACTAGTCAATGTGTTCCTCTCATGTCAATGTTTCATTCTCTCTCTCTCTCTCTCTCTCTCTCTCTCTCTCTCTCTCTCTCTCCCTGCCACTCTATCTGAAGATAAATGAAAAATATCCTCAGGTAAGGATTAGAAAAAAAAAGTAGCAGAGCCTGGCAGAGAAGAGAGTGCCATCCACACACATGCACTCACACAGTTTGATGAATGGTAGAAGACAGACTCTCCTGGACTAGATAACTATCTCTTCCTTCAGCAGGGTCCCCTTTTGTATTGAACTCAGTCCTCCCAAACTTTCCAGATTCTCCAGGTGCAAGATCTCTTGGGTCTTCTCAATACTCTGGGAAATGGATAATAAATGACACCTAAGGAAGGCTGTTTCTTGAAAGAGGAGATGACACCTAAATAAGAGCAAAAGTTTGGCTCAGATTAGAGTGTCATGCTTCATGCCCTAAAGGTCAGGAACTCTGTCCACTAATGCAATTCTTTTTGGTCTGTACCTGCCCTCCCTAATACTCCCCTCCATTGTAAGGTATTATAGAGACAGAAGGGGAAATAGAGTGCAATAGAACACAAGGCATACAAACCGATGGATAAACTCACAGAACCTTGGCCAGTGCTGAAATTAGCAGTTGTCTAAACATTAATAGGTGAGAAAACAAGGATTAAGAGAGGAAGGTCAACCACAAAACCCAGGCCTCTTGATGCCCAACTCAAGACTCTTAGTAAAGTTAAAGAAAGGAAAAAGAGAATTGATGTTCATAAGAATAAATGGAAATACCTTAAGTATGGTAAGTACAATGGTAAATGCGGTATTAATGTTAACATGAAGATGATGGACAACTTCTATTTTCAGCCTTATAGCAGATTAGATACTCTCCCACTAAAACGAAATAAGTTATAAATAAAATATTTATTCAAAAACTTTTTTGTAAATGCATCATCAAGGTGGCATCAGAGTAAGATATTCTTAAAAGCCAAAACCATAATGGAAACAGGAATTAGAATGTTAAGCAAGCATACAATTAGTTTTCACCTTGAAGACACACACTCACCCCAGGTAACCCTGATTTTCCATTCTGTTGGCCATTGGGACACACACACACACAAACAGCAGAAAAATCCCAGGGCCTGCTCAAGAGGAGAATCTAATACAAGTCTGTCACATGAAACTGGAACTTCAAAATTACCTGTGTTGACCAAGAATTCATAAATACAGGCTAGCTGTTATGTATATCTGCAGCTAAATTCATAATACCTATGTATTTTGTTTGTGATGCTAAGCTAGTTGTGTACCTATGTGCCAGAAAGAAGCAAATGCAAATCCTTTTTCGTGGAAACACTTTAAATACAGGCCTTGAAGAATTTCTGCCCCCCCCCCAAAAAATCCAAGAAAAACTAATTCACTGTTATATATATATATATATATATATATAGAGAGAGAGAGAGAGAGAGAGAGAGAGAGAGAAATAAGATGTCACAACCAAGAGCCTGCATAAACAGCAGCTAATGGACTCAAACCTGCAAATAATTTGGCTGCTAAACTTAAAAGACACAAAATGTAAAATAAGTATGTTTAACATGTATAATGAAAATATATTTAGAGAATTAAAAATATAAGGACAAGAGATGATAAAATACAACACTTAGGGGAAATATAATTTCTAGTTATAAAAATAGATTAATTGAGCCCTGGCCAGTTTGGCTCAGCAGTTGGAGCGTCGGCCTGCGGTACAGAGAGACCCGGGTTCAGTTCCCGCTAAGGGCACGTACCTCGGTTGCAGTTTGTCCCCGGCCCTGGTTGGTCGTGCGGGTGGCAGACATTCGATGTGTCCCTTCACATCGATGTTTCTCTCTCTCTCTCTTCCTCTCTCTCCCTCCCGCTCTATCTGAACAAAAAATGGAAAAATGTCCTCGGGTGAGGATAAGAAAAAAAAAATAGATTAATTGAAATAAAAATTTAATAGGTTAAAGAGCAGATCAGACACAGGTAAAAAGTGAAAGGCTAAAACTAAAGAAACCTCTATGTAAGTTATTCAGAATGCAGCCCAGAAAGACAAAGAGATGGAAAATATGAAAGAGAAATTAAGAGACATGCAAGATAGAGTAACAAGGTCTAACAGAAGTCTTCATGGAATTCCAAAAAGTAAAACAAAAAAATGAGAAGATAAAAATTTCCTAGCAATGCCGAAAGACACTACTCCTCAGATTTAGTTCACACAACAAATCCTAACACAAATACCCATATTCTGAAAAATACCAGAGAAAGTCTAAGAAAGACTTCCTTAATAAGAATATTTTCACAGAGACTCAACTTCTGAACAACAATAAAAATAGGAAAATAATAAAATAATATCTTAAATGCTCAGAAAATAACTGCCAACTTAAAATGTGTATTCAGCAAAACCAATTTTAATGAACAAAATGAAAGATAATTTCATACAAACAAAATATGAGAGTGTATCTCTAATTAACCATCATTAAAAAGCATTATAAAGAATGTATGTCAAGCAGAAGGATAATGATCTTAGATAGAAGGTCTAAGAAGGTTTAATGAACAACTAAATTAGTAAATATGTGAGTAAATTTAAACAAACAAATATTAAATGCATAAAATAATAATGTCAAATGTATAGATTTAAAAAAACAAAAATGAATTAAAACATTGAACAAAATAGCATATAAATTGAGGGAAGGTCCTTTTATTATTTATGTAGAGAATAAATATGTTGATCATCTTTCAACTTTGTTAAGTAAACATTTTAAAATGTCAATAATAACTACTACGTGGATAAAAATAGACCATATAACTTCCAAACTAAAGAGGGAAGACATGTAGTGAGAATTATATACATAAAATTTAGTCAATCCAAAATAAGCGATTTAGGGGTAGGGAGGAACAGAACAGAACTGAAAATACAAATTAATATGATAGAAAAAAATACAAATATATCAGTAGTCACAATGAATGTAAGCCAACTAAATGCTCCAGTTAAAAGACAAATATTATAAGACTAGATGAAAAATCCAGTTATAAGCTATTTATAAGAACTATCCAAAACATGAAGACAGAAAGTTTTAAAGTAAAAGATTTTTAAAAATATAACAGGTAAATACTAACCTAAAAATGTAGAAGTAGCTATAGTAATATTAGCTAAAACAAACTTTACAACAAAAGCATTACTAGAAATAAAAAGAATAATGAGTCTTGGCTGGTGTGGCTGTGATTAGAGTGTTGGCCCACAGACCAAAGGGTTGCAGGTTTGATTCCCAGTCAAGGGCATGAATCTGGGTTGCAGGTTCAATCCCTGGCCCTGGTTGGGGCGTGCGTGGTAGACAACCAATCAATTTGTCTCTCTCACATCGATGCTTCTCTCTCTCCCCTTCCTTTCCTCCCTCTATTCTCTCTAAATATCAGTGGGGGGGGGGGGTGAAGATAATGATAAAAAGTTCAATTCCCTAATAAAATATAACAATTCTAAATCAAGATTTAGACAACATAATAAACAAGCTTGATCTAGTTTATAGATAAAAGATTACCTCACACTAGTCTATAAAGCAATTCTCAATAAATCTAAAAATATTAGGGCTGTCTATGGACCATGATCTCTCCTCAAAGTGAAATTAATTAAAATCATTAACAGAGTCCTGGCCAGTATTGCTCAGTGGTTAGAGTGTCAGTCTGTACACCGAAGGGTCATGGGTTTGATTTCCGGGGGAGTGCATGTGGGAAGCAACCAAACAATGTGTCTCTCTCACATTGATATTTCTCTCTCTCTCTCTTTCCACCTTCCTCTCTCTCTAAAATCAATAAAAATATATTCTTGGGTGAGGATTAAAAAAAAATTTTTAAGAAGAATAAATAATCAATGGGCTTAGATCCTGCTTTAAGAAGTTGGAAAAAGAATAGCAGAATAAATGCAAAAAATTAGGAATGGAAGTTCAAAGTTAGAAGCAAAAATTAAATAGAAAACAAACACAAAACATGAAGGTTCAATAAAGCTAAAAGCTGTTTTTGTTTTTTTAATAAATTTTTTATTTATTTTTTTGTTACAGATATTTTACCTTTTTTACCCCATTGGCACCCCCCTCCCCACCCCACCCCCACCCTGTCCCCGGCTTAGTTGTCCATGTCCATTGGTCATGCATACATGCATATAAGTTCTGTGGTTTATCTCTTCCCACCACCCCCCCACCCCCTCTTCTGAGGGATGTCAGTCTGTGCCCTACTTCCATGTTTCTGGGTCTACTATATTCCTCAGACTGTTATGTTCATTATATTCCGTATATAAGTGAGATCATGTGGTATTTGTCTTTTTCTGTAAAAGCTAATTTTTTGAAGACTTAAAGATGGTAAGCCTCTGACAAAAATTGGTAATGAAAAAAATCACACAACTACAGATACAGCACAAATTAAGAAAGAAAATATTTTGAATAATTTTATGTCAATGAATTTTTAAACTTAGATAAAATGTATAAATTTGTAGAAATATATAAATTACCAAAACTGACTCAAGAACAAAACAATATCTGAATAGTCCTATAATCCTTAAAGAAACTGAATCGTGAACTTAAAATTCTTTCCTAGAGAAATACTATGCTCCTTTTATAGGCAAAGAAAAAATAATAATTCTAAACATAAATTCAGAAATTAGACACCCTCACTCATTTTATAAAGCTTGTAACACCATGATATCAAAATCAGAAAAGGACAGTACAAGAAAAACATTTTTAAACCAATCTCATTCATAACACGAATGCAAAATTCTAAAGAAAATATTACAAAAAAAGTTGAATAACAAAAAAGATATTACACAATGGACAAACTTCCAGTGTTATCTGCCACATTAAGAGGGTTAAAGGAGAAAACTTAATGGTCTCAATACATGCAAAAAGAAAAAGCATCCAATAAAACTTAGCATCCATTCATGATTAAAAAGGAAACACAAATCTTTGCAAACTAGAACCAGAAGGTAACTTCCTTAATATGACAAATATTGTCTACCTAAACTGTGTACAAATAAATACAATACTTTATAATGAAACATCAAAAACATCCCTTTATTATATAGTATCATTGTACTGCAGGTATATATACCTAGGGGGGAAACCAAACAAAAGGACAAGATTATAAAAATTTTAAACATTTTTTCTTTATATTTTTTTTAGAGAGAGAGGAAGGGAGAGGGAGAGAGAGATAGAAACACCAATGAGAGAAAACATCGATTGGTTGCCTCCTGCATGCCTCCTGCAAATCCCCACTGGGGATTTGGCTCACAATCTGGGCATGTGCCCTGACTGGGAATTGAACCAGTGACCTCTTGGTGCATGGGTCAATGTTCAACCACTGAGCCACACCAGCTCAGCAAAATTATAAAAGTTTTAAATAAATATTAAAGAAAACATAAGGAAATGAAAGAAAACAGCATGTTCATGCATAGGAAGATTCAATACTATTTTTTTTAATCAGTTCTCCCTAAATTGAACATATATTGAGTGTAATTCCAAACAAATTTTAACAGATTTTTTTTCTGTGAAATATAATGAAAGATGTCTTATATGTAAACAATATATATATACACACACATGTGTGTATATATATATGAAAGATTTTCTTATATGTAAGAAAAAAGGCCAAAATAACTAAGCCACCTCTGAAAAAGAACAAGTGGAAGGATTTTTCCTACCAGATATCAAAATATATAATATCAAGATATCATAAAGCTACAGAAACTATAAAAGTATGGTTTGGGCACTAGAATAGACAAGTTAATAAATAGAGTATGGAAATTTGATTAATAACAGAAATGGCATTCCAGATCAGTGCAGACTAGTCAATAACTGCCACTATAACAACTTGATATTCATTTAAAAAACATAATGAAAGTGATCCCTACCTCCCCTCACACCATAAATCAAGATGGATTAATGAGTTATAGAAAGCAAAATGACAAAACTTTAATATATAATAAAATATCTTTAAGACCTCAACAAGGAAAGATTTCATAAATTATACACAAAGGAGCCCTGGCCGTTTTGCTCAGCGGTTAGAGCATCGGCCCTTGGACCAAAGAGTTGTGTGTTTGATTCCAGTCAAGGGCACATACCTCGGTTTTGGTTCTGTCCAAGAACCAATCAATGTGTCTTTCTCACATCAATGTCAATGTCTCTCTCTCTCTCTCTTCCCCCCTCCCTCCTTCCCATTCTATCTGAAGATAAATGGAAGTGTATCCTCGAGTGAAGATTAAAAATAATAATAAAAATAATAATAATAATAACAATACACAAAGGAAATAAACCATTTAAAGGAAAATATCAGTAAGTTTAATTGATAAAAATAAGTTTAATGTAGTAAAATTTATTTCCATTCTTCAAAGAATCCTATATAAGAAGTAAAAAGCCAAGCCTTAAACTAGAAGATATTTGCAATATCTATACTAATAAAGGATTAGTATCTAAAATATATGAAGAACTCCTACAAATCAGTTTGAAAAGGACAAAAAAAAATAGGCAAAACACTAAATAAGAATTTCTTAGAACAGGAAACACAAATGGCCACTAAACATATAAAAACATGTTCAATCTGATTAATAATTAAGAAAATGCATTTTAATAGCATGAGATACTATCTTACACCAATTAAATTGGCAAAGATTTAAAGGTCTGACAATTTCAAATGTTGACAAAGAGATGAAGCAACAGGAATTATTTTTCCTGCCAGTAGGGTGCAAATTATTACCATCTTTTAGGAAACCTATTGGACATTATATAGAAAACCTGAAAATATGCATAATCTGGATCCAGAAATTTCAGTACTTAGTATCCTGGAGACCATTTTACACATGTGCAGCAGAAGACATAACAAGAAAGTTCATGACAGTGTTGTTGGTAATAGATAAAATAAACTGGAAACCATCCAATGTCAGGAAAATGGATAATTGGGATTCATTACACAAGTAAATACTTAAGGTTGTAAAAACAAATGAACCTCAATTTCTTGTATTAATATGGAGGAACCTCAGGTTATAATGTTGATCAAAATAGCAAGTTCCCGCCTGGCTGGTGTGGCTCAGTGGTTGAGCGTCGACCCACGCACCAAGAGGTCACCAGTTTGATTCCCAGTCAGGGTACATGCCCAGGTTGGGGGCCCAGTCCTCAGTGGGGGGTATGCAGGAGGCAGCCAATCGATGTTCTCTCTCATCGGTGTTTCTCTCTCTCTCTCCCTCTCCTTTACTCTCTCTCTAAAATCAATAAAAGAAAAAAAATTTTTAATAGCAAGTTCCAGAAGAATAAGCACAATACAATAACATATATATAAAGCTTTAAAGCATGTAAACTAAATAATATATGTTTAAGAATATATATGTTTGTAATAAATGCGATTAGCGTAAGTTTCAGAGTAAATGGTTCTGGAGGGGAGAAAAGATGAAGAGGTCAGGAAATGCCAGATGGTGGCGGGGGGACTTCAAAAATACTTAATGTTCTACCATATTTTATTAATTTTGGCAAGCCAATTTTGTTTTTTTACATTTTAACATCTCTGAAATGAGATGTGTCTTACAAGCTATAACGTCTTAGAATTATACTTGGCAGCAATTTTTCTTTGTCAGTGGTACTTAAAATAAGGGTGTAATATAAACAGCGAAGTAAATGTAATATGGCTAGTTCTTAAACTATATGGCAGAAGTATGGGTGTACAGTTTATTTTTAATTACTTAGATCTTACAGCTATATTATAAATATTCTTTTTTTGAATGGCATTTTTCTTGTTATTTTGTTAATCCTCACCTGAGGATATTTTTCCATTGATTTTTAGATAGAGAGGGAGAGAGAAAGAGAAAGGAACATTGATATGAGAGGGACACATCTATTGGTTGCCTCCTGTATGACTCTGACTGGGGCTGGGTATCGAACCTGCAACACAGGCATGTGCCCTTGATGGGGAATCGAACTTGCAACCCTTCACTCCACGGGCCCATGCTCTAACCGCTGAGCAAAACTAGTCAGGGCATAAATATTCTTTATTTTATATTTAATGTATAATAAAATTGAGTTAAAATAGATTAATCATGGGTTAGGTTAACATAGTAGGGAGGGTATTAGGAATAGGGACAAAATTAAATAGGATTATGGATTTAGATGGTGATAGTATGTAAAGATAAAGGTCAGTTAGGGTGAGGAATGAGATCTTAGATTTCAGGATAAAGATAGAAATAGGAATAGAAAGCCTTAGGAACCAGGATGGTATAGGGGAGAGTATGAAATTTGGAAGAGTCTGGTTCTCAAGTCAAGTAGGATTCAAAGTGGGAAGGACAAGAATAAGGGGTATGGTTGAAGCTCTAGAGCAGTGCTGTCCAGTAGCACTTTCTGCAGCAATGGAAATTTCTATATCTGTACTGTCCAATATGGTAGCCACTAGACACACAATAGTGTGGTTATTGAACATTTGGAATGTGTCTAGTGAGACTGAAGCACTGAATTTTTAACTTTATTTCATTTTAATTAATTAAAGTTAAATAGCTACATGTAGCTAGTGACTGCAGTTATTTAAAATATGTTTTTATTGATTTTTTTTTTAGAGAGAGAGGAAGGGAAAGATAGAAACATCGATGTGAGAGAGAAATATTGATCAGCTGCCTCCTGCATGCCCCCCACCAGGGATCAAGACCTGAAACCCTGGGCATGTGCCCTGACTGGGAATCAAACTGGGACCTTTCAGTCAATGGGACGATGCTCAATGCACTGAGCCACACTGGCCGGGCAGTGACTGCAGCTTTGAACAGCTTAGCTCTAGAGTGTCCATGGCTCCTGAATCCCAACAGAGGGCAGGGAGAGGGGCACCAGTCCCGGGACACTCACCAGCCACTATGAACAGAAAGAAGCCAAAGCGCAGGATGTAGTAAGGCTACTGCGCAGAGAATTAGGGAGGGCTGGGCTTCACCATCAGACTCTGGATCTCCAGGGCATGCAGCAACAAGGCCAGGAAAGCACAAGCCCCTGCAGGACACAGGGAAGCAACTTTGCTCTCCTCTGTGGTTCTGTCTTCGGTCCAGCCTTCCTCAGACTTAATTAGACAGAGCCAGTGGCCTACAGCCTATGTGCCTCCTGCATGGAGGCTCTTTCTCTTGCTGGCAAACCTTGCCCTCTCTGAGCCAAAAACGTCCACCCCACATGCCTGTCTTGTCCTCTTTCCCAACTTATCTCAAAGCTCATGCGCCTCACCTCCCGGGGCCCCCTAATCAGAAATCCTTTTCCTGCCCTGGCCAGTTTGGCTCAGTGGTTAGAGCGTTGGCCTGCGGTCCGGAGAGACCCGGGTTCGGTTCCCACTAAGGGCATGTACCTCAGTTGCAGTTTGTCCCCGGCCCTGGTTGGTCGTGCGGTGGCAGCCACTCGATGTGTCCCTTTCATGTCGATGTTTCTCTCTCTCTCTCTCTCTTCCTCTCTCTCCCTCCCACTCTATCTGTACAAAAAATGGAAAAATGTCCTCGGGTGAGGATAAAAAAAAAAAAAAAAAAGAAATCCCTTTCCTGAGTACCCTCTGTGCTCATGACCTCAGCTGACTCCTGCCTGGGCCCTCTGGGTGTGATACTTTGGATGAAACTCAACCTGATTCTCCCACCGTGAGCCTTCCAGCTCCTCCATCTCATGACAGGGGAGGGCGTTGGTCAACCTTTTAAAGTCAAAAGATTCCAAAGGGCAGAGATGGTCTCTTCCATTTATTCATCCAAAAAACATTTATATTTCATTTACATCATATATTTCAATGATATTAGAATTCTATTCCAGACTCTATGACAGTCACTGGGATAGAGCTTATGGTAAAAAAGACCCCAGACAAATGACCCCAACCAGTGTGGTAAGCACTGTGGTAAGGACTGTGCTAGCTGGAAGTGTGGAGTACTGAAAAGCCCCAAAGAAGAGGGGTCATAAATAGGTACAGAGGGGCAGTGTATGGGGGTGGGTTACTTCAGAGAGAAGCCAACAGAGGAGACCTTCAAATCCTCTCTCCTGACATCACAGAGATCATCCTCCTTCCCCAAACCACCCACCATCTGCCTTTGAACCCCTCCCCAGGCCGTCCCCAAGGCCTGCCTGCCTGCTCCACACCTGTGAGGAAGCTGATGGAGGCTGATACAAAATTGTGCATCCGGGTCCTTGGAAGGGGCTAAGATGCAAAAGACACCACAATGGGGGTGGTGAGGGCAGACAAGACGACTGCAGACAGCAAGAAAACGCAGCTGAGGATGATGTAAACTGCAGGGGAGGGAGCGTGGGCTGGTGCTGGGCACCCTGACCCCAAAGGACAGAGCCCACAGAGCCCACAGAGCCCACAGAGCCCACAGAGCCCACAGAGCCTGGGCAGGGATGGCCTCTGAAGCTCTAGCACCTCAGGCCCTGACATGTGGCCTGGAACCAAGGTTCTGACCTTGCCACTTTGGCCCCATTTTGTTCCCCATGACATGAAAGTAAACAACAACAAAATTACATAGACAAATGGTGGTTTTACAAACAACATAAAATAAAACCCTCATGATAAAATTTGTTACACAAGGAAACGTGAGGAATCGCATCTATATTGGTCATGCTGAAAAAAGTCACCGGTGGAAAATCAACATGTTCTGAACGATGCGGGGAACCCCTACAGTTATCCTGGTTAATAAAAGTAACAGACCAAAATAGCAGAGCCAGAGTCTTAAGGGCAGGGTGATTTGTCCTGCTACTGTTAGCATGATGCAGACTCATGTTAAAATGAGTTTGTATACGCTCCTGAGCATGCAGAAATGGACAGCTGGGGGTAGAACAAAGGGACAAAGGTATTATTGAAGACTCAGAGTTCTTGAATCTACCCTTGCGTTAAGACAGTGCTTCTGAACCAGACACAATTTTGCTCCTCACGGGGGATATTTGGCAATGCCAAGAAGTAATTCTGTCACAACTAATGGAGGGAGGGTTCTACTGGTATCTAGGGGGTAGTAGAGGGCAGGGATGCTACTAAGCTGTAAGAAACAGGGGAGCCTCCCAACAAAGATTATCCACCCCAAAATGTCAGTAATGCGAAGGCCGAGGAACCCTGGATCAAAGAGCTCACACAGTCTGGCCCTTCTTCCCCATAGTGGCTCTCTTCTCCTATCACCAGGAGATAACCCCTAGGTTTCCAGGAGTCACCTTTTTTCCAAGGCAGATGCCATCATGAACTTTCCAAGTTCCTTGTAAAACACGGTCTTGAGTGCCTCCTCAATAATGTGGTACCCAGGCCTGAGCACATTATCTGCAGAGCTGCTACCCAGAGTTGGACAGGTATGTGGCCAAGGGGAGAAGTTGAGGCTGAAACCCAACCTGGGCTCTGCTAACCAAGCTGCTCCCCTAGGTAGGAGCTAATGGCAGCCCTGAGAGGTGAGAAGTGGGGGAGCCTCACAGAGTAGGGCAGGATCCCCTCCTTCATCCCAGGGGACCCCCAGAAATAAACTGCTGCTGACACATTGGCTCCTGACTCCAGTGTCAGCCTGACATTATTAACCCCCTCCCAGTGCCTACTGTCCTCTAACCCCAAGACAGTGGAGACTCAGAGAAAATGCCCTTATGGGCTTATTAAATCTTATTCTCTGCCACCCCCACCCCCTAGTCCCTGCCTCCATCCCTCCTTACTGGATAAGGGTCAAGGCTTCTAGCACTTGAAAGGAAAGCAGTTTTCAAACAGGCCACTGAAAAACGCCTCACAGGATTCCTCATTCACAAGGCACGCCCAGAAGGGGAAAATGGCAACCAGCAGTATGAGCAGGTAGCCCAGTATGGTCAAGGCTGGGGCTATGGCCCATGTGAAGCCCTTTATGTCCTTGTCCTCTACAGTCAGCATCAACTGGGCAAGGAAAAGTGAGGACAAGAGGTGGGGCACCTACTCCCAATTCTCGTGTGGCACAAAGAGATAGTGCCTGCAGAAATGCTAACACATATATGAGGCTCAATAAATGCTGACTGATTTGCCTCAATAAACTTTACAGCTTTACAGACATCCTTAGTGGAACTAAAAAACACATAGGACCTTTTCTACCACTAACTCACTGGGTGATCTTGGGTATGTGGGGTTTCTTCTGTGAGCCCCAATTTCCACCTCTGTAAAATGAGAAGGATGGACTAGGCTGTTCCCTACCTCTTCCAGCTCTGAAGTTCTAACCATTCAATTCTGTTAACACCCACCCACTGGCCACAGAAGAACCTCTCCAATGCCCTCTTTCAGTCTGCTATTTGCCTTTTGAGACTTCAGAATAGGGACCAGGGGGAGATAAGACCAGGGTCTGAAATGCCCTTCCTCAGTAACTGGCCTTCTTGCCTCTGGACCCTGGGTTTAGATGGGGAGTGTTCCACCAGGCCAGTAAGAGCCTCCTGCTGAAAAATGAGATTATATGCACAGAGGAAGTATTGCAAATAGTTTTAGAGTTTTATAGACCTTGCTGAAGCCCCAGGTACCAATCTAGGCCTGAAGGTGAGGCCCTTCATTAAGGATCCCTCATATCTTCTCCTTGAATACTGTCTGTCACTAAAGATGCTTTCTTTTGAATGAGTACCTGAGACGATAAGAGCTGACTGGACTTGGCTTTAGAAGCCCTAGATTGTCATCCCAGCTTTATCATTTGCTAGCTGTATAACCTTGGGAAGCTTGCTAAAACTCTCGGGACTTTGGGTCCCCCATTGGGAAGATGGGGGATACAACACTTGCCCAGTGGGTCTCTGAGAAGGCCAAATGAAATACTGCATACTGAAGGGGCAAGCACAGTGCTGGGACTCAAGTGCTTGGTTAAAGGGGGGGGGGTTGGTGAGAGAACAAACTTCTCCTAAAATTCAAATATTCCTATGGTGAAAGGGGCTAGAGGCCACTCATAATCTAAGGGCAAATTTATTCAACTAGTCTGCTCTCCTCTCTGCCTTTGCCAAGCCCAGCAACCCTGTGGAAGGAGTTTTCACCAAGGTGGAGAGGAACAAGTGGAGGCAGGGGAGGAGCTGTATAGGAGCCTGGGGTGCTGCAGGGAGGGTGGGCCTGGTCAGAATGCATACAGATGGCACTGTGATTACCCTGGCACCTGGTGGTGCAGAAGGGAGGCATCAGGAAGTGAGAGACACACATGACAAAAGAGGTGAAGGGCACTCTAAGAAAACAGAACAGCCCTTCTTTCCAAGTCATGCCCAAAGCCAGGCCTGGAGACCCCTATAAAAGCAGGGCTGTGCTTGGCGGCACCAAAGATTCGAGCTGTGCATGATGACTGCAGAAGACAGGGTCCTTGGAGTGAAAGTGCTGTTCTTACTTCTCTGCACCCTGTGCAAATACCCTTGCTCATGCCCAGGCATTATGGCTTCTTCACGGTCCCCAAAGCAGACCCCACCCCCCTCACTACAGCTGGGGACAAGGAGTGTCTTTAAGGCTTTGAGAACTGTTGATCACTATAGCAGAACAAGGGCAGAGGTGTGGGTGCCCTCCCAGCCCTCCCACCCAACTATGCTGTTTATAAATGGTTTAACCACTGCTCCTCTTTTAATGCTGTTAAGAGTGCTTTGGAAATGTTCTAATGTGCTTTCTCCTCTTTTTGTCACTCACCAGCTTTTCTTCTCCCCACCTGAAAAAATTGAATCCTTCCCTCTTTCCAAAGCTACCCTTTCGATCTTCTCTCCACCCTCCAGGCCTACTGATGAGTCACCTGAACTTCAGGGTCTCAGTTTCCCTTGCTCTAAAATGATGAAGTCAGTAGGACCAGAGAGTGTTGAGTCCCATTTGTAAAACTCTCCAAGTAGGAATCATGGCTACATATTGACCCTCATGCTCTGTACGAAGTGGCGTGCCCTAGACATTTTCCTCTGATGGTCTGTATCTCTTCCTGTCCACCCCCCACAACCTCAACTTGTCTAAAACTGACCTGAATATCATCCCTATTTCAGTCATTCTCTCCATCACCCACACTATAGCTAGGAGCTCATGCTGGCTTCTCCCTTTCTCCTATGCTTCCAGCTCATCAGCCTTCCTCACCTCCTCGGTTTTCACAAAGTTTCCCAACCACCCCCCTTCCTGCCCACCCCCCATGTCTCCCTCCAGTCCTGGAACACCACAGTCAACCCCAAGCATCTGCAACTTCCATGCCTGGGGTCCTTCTCTGGGGATGCCCTCTCTGCTCCTCCAGACCTCTTAAATCCCACCTCTCATATAAGCACAGCTTGATCCTGTGCACTCCATGTAGGCCTCCCAACCATTATCCATTCCCTCCATAGAAATTAAATGTGCACTTACTAGATGCCCCATTCCCAGTTTAGGCCAATGGGGACAATTCAGGGACAAAAAAACAAAAACAAAAACAAAAGACAGGAATTTGCAGGCTCTTGGTAACTACTGCAGAGAGAAACAAATAAACATATCATATTGATACAGTGCTTTCCTCTCCCCAGTCTTGGGTTACCATGGGGCCACCCAGCATACCACCTCCTGTCTGCACTCTCCACCCACCCTCCACCCCTAACCCTGCTTTCCAGTGAGGTGGGCCTTGTCGGCCTTTCTCTGAGGTTAGGCCAGGGTCCTGCATGGAACAGCCCTTAGTGCTGGGACTTGATGAATATGCAATTTTGGGAATACACTAACATAGGCCAGACTCAAAGGACTACCGACATTTTAATATAAAAGGGGATTTGTAGATCCCTTTGTACTGATGAAGAAAAAGAGAGTGGTAGAGAAGACTCCATTGGTCCAGGATCCCACAGTCAGTGGGGACCAGGGATCAGAAAGTCATGTGGCTGATCCTCCCATCTCACCAGACACTACTGGCCAGCAGTCCTATTCAATGATTTCCAAATGTGAAATTTAGTGGAACCTAAGAATTTTTTCTAATGGGTATGTTCATGTGCATGTGTGAGAAAGGGAGAGAATGGAAGAAGGTAGGATTGCCAACTTTCTATTCTGCCAAGGACATTCAAAAAGAAACAAACAAACAAAAAAAAAACTCACCTACTATCATTGACTGTTTTAATTATTATTTTTAAAAGATCCCAGATACTGGAAAGCAGAAGAGCTGCCTATTCCTCAGTGGGGCCAGGACCAGCACCTGAGAACCACCCGCTTGTGTAGAAGGTACTCAATCCCGGTTCCCTCTGGGACACTCTCTCTGGGCCACCCTGCAACAACCAGTGTGCAGACCTCTCTGGGCCCTGTGCGCTCCCAGGGACACCTGGAAACTGTACTGGGGATAAAGAGGTGGGTGACATATAAAGTACACCTTGGTTGGAACAGGGAAGAGACCTGGAAGGAACTGTCTGGGCCATTCCTCCCTCTGGCAACCTTCCTCTTCCCAAACCTTTCATGGCCTGGAAGTCACAGTGACATTTTCCAGACCCAAAGATGGTCCCCAACCTGGCCATCCACCCCCAGACACCACTCTGTGGGTCTCAACATCCCAAGGGATTATGTGTAGCCTTTGGGTGGGGGGAGCTTCTCCATGCCCTCCCCATGCCGACCAGTGAAGCCACTTCAACTCACCCTCTACCAGTTTCCTCTCCCTCATTCGGGCCACTTTTGAGGTCTCCCAGTCTCCTGGGCAGAGCTTCCCTCTAGGTGGCCCCAGGGCAGTGGGACAAGCCCCCACCCCGCCCCACTCCTCTGTCTCTTCTGCTTGTGGTCCAGGCCTCCGCTGGCTCCCAGGCCCCCGCAGCTATGCTTGGTCTCCTGGCAGAGTTCCCCAGCCCTGGGGCCAGTGGAGGAAGGCAGGGGCTCACCCCTGGAGGCAGCTGTCCCGCCTCTCCCCTGACCCTCAGCTAGGGAAACCTGGCCTCCAGGGTTGTTCACCATAGGCCTCGCTCACCAGTGTACAGAATAGGGTGGGGGTTTGAGCAAGCTGGAGTCCCCCAAATCTGAATTTGAATTTCAACTCTACCATTACCAGCAGGGTAACCTTGGGTAAGTTACTTCTCTTTCCCAGGTGTCAGTTTTCTCATCTGTGAGAGGGGATTAATAATAGTAACTTTTTCTGTTGGGTGGCAGAAATGATCCAATGAGAAGTGGCTGGAAAAGAAGCCACCCCACCCCCTACACTTGCACAGTAATAGAGCTGCACAAAGAGCAGCCTTCACCAGGAACCGAGAAGCCCTGAGTTTGAGTTTCCTGACTCCCCAGGGGCATGCCAATTCACTCCCCTTCCCCAAGACCTTGGCTCCCACACCAAGCTTTGTTTTGTGCATGTGCTCTGATTTCCCTCAAGCCTCCCTGGCCCTTACATTCATTGCCCTTCTTTGCTCTCCCAAAGTAAAGTTGTCTGAACCTCTCAACACTCTGGGTGGTTTTAAACTTCTCAAAGAGACAGCACTCAAGGGAAGCAGGACTGGCTTTCAGCCCTGGGGCTGGATAAGTCACCAGTCCACCTTGCTCTGAGTCTATGCTCACCAAGAAAATGCATTTACAACTCATAAGATTTTTAAATCCAGGATCAGGACCATGTCTAGCACCCCTTCACACCTCTCCACTAGCCAGTACATATTCAAAGACAACAGGAAGGGATGAGGGCATGGACCACACTAATTTAAGTCATCACTCAAGTGAGAGGCACATGTCAGGCCTTGTGCTATTCAGATTCTATCTGTCATCAGGTTTAGAACCCAACTTGTAAGTCTTCAGGCAAGAGGGGGGCTTTATTGACTTAGCTGGGTCAGGGCAGAGGTACAGCTGGTGAGGACTGGAGCCAGGCCAGGAACACCCCTGGACAACTCTCTGCCCTGATTTCAGAAAGGTAGTTTTGATCTCCTCCAATTCATAGGCTTTCATTCTCCAGATAGCAGGGGGAAAAGTCAACTTCCAGACTCACATCCTCTTATTTAGCCACCTTATGGAAA